TGCTTTGCCTCGGTTTGCGAACCAGGCTCGGTTTTCGCGGTTTCTTTTCCTAAGGGAAGGGAGAGGTCCCGTAGACCATCTCTCAATGTCCGTAGGCTACATTTCGTGGTCGTAGGCCATTTTGCCCATTTCGGAGTCCGGTTTCCGATTTTTCGGGACCGTTGGCCGTGTGCCTCGGTTCGGGACCGCCTAACCATCTCCGTTTGCTCTGATTTTTGGCATGCATCTTATTTAATCCCTTTTGAGGGACACTGGGGTCTGAGAAACCCACTTCGAGGTCGAATACCATTCTCGGTGTTTAACGGGCAGTTTCCGGGGCCCCGAACTGCGTGTTTTGGCCCCCGAAAATTCATTTTGCAACGGTTTTCGTTCATTTTTGGCAGGTACCTCTGTTTTATCACTAGGAAGGTCACTGAAAGATGGAAGGCCAGTAATTGTTGCAGCAACCAGCTATACATCCTCCGACGCCCTCCGACGCCCGTTTTTCACACTTCTGGGCTAATGTTGAACACCTTGGGCCCACTTTCTTGAACTTTGAACCACATATTTGTGATGTACACACTTGGGAGGACCCTAAAAGTTGGTGGCCGGCCAGTAATTCCACCTGACCCTTTTGAACCCCTCTTTCCGAGCTAATGTTGAACACCCTCGAGCCACTTTCTTGGACGAACTTTGAACACCATCATTTGTGATGTACACCTTGGGAAGACCTAAAAGTTGGTGGCCCGGCCAGTAACCATTTGACCCTTTTGAACCCCTCATCCCGGCTAATGTGAACACCTTGCGGGCCACTTTCTTGAATCTCTTTGAACCACATATTTGTGATGTAACACATGCGGAGGACACCATCATGTTGGTGGCCCGGCCACAAATCAGCCTTGACCTTTTGACCCCTAAGCCGGCCGGCTAGGGGGTGTGGCCGGTCCCGGCCACCTGCAACCCAAAATAACTGGCCGGCTACGTAATTTCTTCACACTGTTCACACTTTACAGCTGTATTGGCTTTATCCCCCAGAAAATATCACATATCCGGGGGATATTAAGTGGGAAAGCTTGTTTCCTTTTCCCCCACTTTACCCACCCCTTTTTGTCCATATAAACAGCTGCGTGGCATCACACATATAGGGTTTAGAAAATTGTTCTCAGCTCAAGATCCATATCTCCCTCCATCCTTTCTCATTTTCCTAAAAAAACCTTAAGTCCTACACCTTAATTGTTCTTCATTCACCACCAAAGCTCTACATCATCACTTATATTTCAGCCAAAAGGGGTTCTCAGGCTAGGATGCAAATTGGCCGAAAGCAAAGACTGTCTCCAGGGTGAGTATATACCATTTTCTCTTTTTAGCTTTTCTTTGCAATATTCTTAGCCTCCTCCTTCTTCATACATTTGAGCTCGACCCAAAACTGAAAGTTATCTTTTTTTTTGAAACCGCTCATTTTCATGTCTCATTAAAGGGTCTAACCCTGTTTGAGCCCTCCATCTTCACACTTGCTTACATTATCCCTCTAAAAGGTCATTTTCTTGCATGAATATTTTTAGCTTGTGTGTGATTTATTTTGAGCGTGTTGTAAACTGCATAATAGGCTTATTTTGAGCCCCTCTTCAACATTGAAGAAGGCTCAACAACTGTTGAGAACTTCCAATGTTATACCTTCCCTTTAATACTACCTTTCTTGGTCCCATTTTTGCATGCTATGGCAGCCTTACCATGCTTTTGTTTTGGCCATTTTACAGTTCTGTAAATTGTCTTTTTGGTCCATTCTTCATGTTTTCATTAGGGCCTTTCATGGGTTTGGGACCTCCATATGCCACTTCATGTTATTCTCTCTTTTAATTCCCCATTCTTTGCATGTTAGTTAGCCTATCATTGCTTTTGTTTTTGGCGCATTTTACAGTTCTGGAAATAGTCCTTGTTTTGTGCCTAATACTTTCATGTTTATTAACCATTTTTTTTCTGTTTGTGATTATTTTGTAATACTTCATGTTATAGCACCTTTTTGAGCCTCAATCTTGTGCCTTTTTTTTCAATTTCCAGCACAATGTTTGTATATTGATATTGAGGTTTGGCCATATACTGTAAACATTCATATTTTTTGGTCCCTACTTCAATGTTGTAGAAGGAAATTTTCAGTTTGGATTTTGCTTACTATCACTTGCTTCATTACCCCTCTCTTGGCCCCTATTTCTTGCATGCCATTTTGCCCTACCTATGCTTGCCTGTTTGGCCATGTTTATAACTGTGAAAGTGCCTTTTTTGGGACTGCCTAGCTTCTTTCTTTGCATTACATGTCCATATTGTGCATGTTTGCATAGCCTATAGGCCATTTCGGCGTGCCTGAATTCACATTTCGGACATTCCCATGCAATTAGTGTCATTTCGCCTCATTTTCGGGACTCGTTTTCCCCAATATTTTAGTGCTGAAATTCTATTTAGAATTGAGTTGCTTTCCATTTCTAATGTCATTGATGCATTTGTCATCGCCTCGGTTTGCGTGACC